TATTGTGTAGTGTGTCATGTGTACAGTTTAGTTTTTATTTATGGTGTGCTGTTAAAATGAGAAGCTTACATTTGAAAAGCCACCCAGTATGTTAAGAAATATGTATAAATACCACTTAGTCAAATGTGTAGTTCATGTGGTTAGGTGACTAAGGCAAGTTTAAGGGACAATTGTACTAATTTCATGACTAGTCAGTGAGTTATGTGTGACCTGTCTGTGTCTATGCAGCTGCCCATTGTTTTCCACACAAGAATATACAATATCAGCCTTTCATGGATCCACAGCAGTAAAATGGTTTCTACAGCCACTCCTGTTTGCCATAGTATACGCTGTCAACATCTTAGCAATAAATAATCTTTCGTTACAAACGGATCTGGCAGCAACCAGTTCAGCTGGATAAACAATCTACCATGCGTAACAGTGAAAACAGGCAGGAGTCGTGTGGACAGAGCAGTGACATGTGATTGTGTAGAGAAAAAATGGGAAAGCAAAGTGAAAGCAAGAAACCTGTGAGGGCTTTCTGTCTGCTTGTAAAATTTGATTCACAATTTCTAACAGACCCTGTGCTCCTGTAAGTGTCTCCACAGGTCACATTGAGACAACAACCAATCCTTGTGAACAAATTGAGATCTTTAGAGCAGCCTAAACCCCGATGTGTGCCTTCAAGGCTTGAGGCAAATGTTTGGGCACATCTGAAATGCAAAACTGCAAGAATGAAAAAGAACTCAAAAGCGAAGTCAACTGTAAGCTGTGTTTCATTGTTCAATGAACGCAGTAGCACTTAAACCTCAGTCATATCTAAGCCAAGTGATTCTGAATCAGATTAAACTGGTAGGTGGACAGTCATAGGCAAATTCTCAAGACAATATTCAGTTCAGTTGAATATTAGGAAGTCGATAACAATGATTATTAATTGTAACTGCCTTTTGATTATAGCGTTTGTGTGTCGTAATATTTGCCTTATTTTTCAGTGAGGCCACCCACTGAATTAATGATCACCTCCGGTAAGGTCACAAAAATGTAAAAAATACACTTTCATTTTAAAAATATGTAGAGGTGCTCTTTCATAGCAAAGGCCATATTATGTAAACTTCTCTGATGCATAATAAGTCAGCCATCTGGTTCTCCAAACCGGTTAATAATGCTAAGTCAGTGACCTTTGTGTGTTAATAACTAATGACCAAACTAAAAGTAAAACTGAAAGAATGATAGGTGACACTGATGTGATATCGACCTAACAAATGAAAGGTCCTGAGGAAAACAACTGAAATACAGTAGAGTCAGCATCCACTTTCTTACAGTTGAGTAATTTAAGGAAACAAACTGGAGGAACAAAGATTTTCTGCAATTTTCTTAGCTGCTTGCGTCTGTTTGTCATGTCAATACATGAAGCTGACCTAACAAATTGCATAACCATAAGCGTACTTGCATTTTTCATTTATTATTCTTGTTCAGTTTATAGCCGTGTCTATGTAAGCACATACATACATATCTCAAGCTGCTCATGCAGCAGGAATGCTAACAGTAATATTCCTTGACAGAGGACGGTCTGACCCAACAAGCCTGACCTTTTAATGCTAAAAGCACTGCGCTCCTCCAAGAGGAACAACAGGATAAAAAGGGGCAGGCATATCTGGACTAGAGCACCACTGGTGATATAAATCTTGCAGGTACTTATCAAAGACCATATGGCTACAGGTACTGTCACTGTCTGGGTTGCCATTACGAAGTGAAAAATAGCAGCAATTCACACAAACACCAAAATCCTTGCGAGAATACAACTCTGAGTGTGAATTTTGTAAGCAGCTAGGAACTTCAGGATTCAATTTAATGTTAAGTGACATGGAAAAAGAGACTTCAACTCACATACACTTGAAATGCTGCATGGTAAGTAATAGAAGTCAACCTTGAGTGACTGGTATGAAACTTTATTTTCATGGCTAACAAAGACCTGTAGAACCTGTATTCATCAGCTGTACAATAAACCTCTACCGTACATGTTGTCTTCATCTTTTGTTATAAATCTCAATCTGCTGATGGCAGGACTCAAGTCTGATGCTTTCTCCTGACTTTTGAAGGGGGTATTAAGGAGAAACAGACCACCAAAAACCTACAACCTTCTAGCATTACCGCTCCTTGGGTGATACTCCAGGGTTGATCTAGTGAAGCTATAAATGTGTACCACGCTTTTCTACATGTGCTGCAAATCAAATGCAGACCATGTGGACATGTGACAGTTTACTGCAACCCATATAATGAAAAAACAGACTTGCATATTCACCATACAGAACATAAATATTTCCCATCATTTCCATAACTACAACATCTCCTTACCTGACTCGATTGTTGCAAAACTTGGTGAATTGCGGTTGGTTGAGGTGTATCAGTCGTGCATCTTCTTGGTCAGCTAAGGACGTCTTTTCTGATGTGTCCTCTGTCTTTTCATATCCTGCAGAATGGGAGAGAAGACATTCTATAAGAAACAAAATCTGCCTTGAGCACAAACAAAAGTAAGATGAAAAGGTGTATTGAAGTGTTTGAGTTGGTGCATGTCAAAAAATCCCAGTGGAGTCTTTGGAGTCTGTAAAAGGCAAGTAAGTAATTTCAACACTCGGAGTGAAAGCTATTGAGAACACAGGTGACCTTGGTGCTTTAGAGGCCTTAGATATATATTAGAGTTTTCTTCTGTACATTAATATTTAAAAACAAAAGTGAGGGATAAAATTGGCATTTCCAAAGAAAGATGTGTTGAAAAATGTGTTACAGTACAACAGCTTTATTTTATTGCATATATGATGGAAGAACACAAGTAGTAGGCTACAATCACTGCATATACACTGAGGAGACCCTTATAATTATCTGTATGATACACTTCAGGTGTCAGATAGCAATAACCTTATAATGCTCAAATGATTATCTTAATGGCGTGAGAATGTGCTTGGAAAAACAGTGGGCTTGCCAAATGACATGTCACTGACAATACATCTCTTATTCCTCCTCCACAGTAAAATGCCAGATTGAAGAAAAACCCTATTACATAACAATACAGGAATCACCTGCTTTATGTTAACAGTCTAACATACTGTACATCAAGCAAGAAATTAGATATCCCACAAGTTGTCTGTACAAACAGTTTTGTCTGTTTCAGGACACTACTTCTGTTTAAGAGACTAGCATCTTCCTCAACTTCAATGTGTATGAATACAAATGTGTATCCATCACAACAAAACTCTGGGCAAAGTGAAATGCCTTTGTTACAAGCACCCAAAACATTCAGTAAATATCCACTGTCTCATTACTCAAGAGACAAAGCTCAGATTCCAGAAGTTGCCTCTGAAAACTTCCCATTTGTTGTTGGATACGCGTTGTGATTAGGCCTGGGAATTTCCTGTAAAGAGTGACATCCTGCTGGTAACAGTAGATATGACTTATCTGTGTGGATCAGCTACAGCAACTAGTACTGTACAGAAGTACTCTGTACATGCAAGGCTTTAAGCCAACTGTATTTTTGAATATTTCTTTTCACTGCAGTATCATATTGACACAATGTGTAAATGAATAAAAGTATGAGCAGGCACCTGAAAACTGATACCCAGTCCCACTATGTTGAATCTAAACCAAATGCATAAAAGTCCAGCTTCCTCCTTTAATTCACTGCTGAAAAAATTTAATAACCCTCTCCTTTACTTTTTTTCTGTCCATCTTTGGGAGAGGCATCACTGCTCTGCTCCCACCAAGTTCAACAAAGTGGGATGGAGCTACTGTATGTTGGCTAAATCAACACATCAGATGAGGGCTGTATGTGAGTTGCAGAGATGCTTACCCTTGTAACACATATTTTGATTTTGGCAAGAGGCATTTCTCTCTTATTTTGTCTCTGTAGGCAAGGTCTACAATGCAACATCACGGATTGACACCATGCCTGGTTACTCCAGTTAATATGCACACTTTCCATGCTGGAGACAGGATGATGTGGGAATATCTCAAGCCTCTCTAGCTTGAAGCTGCTTACTGCAATGCAGGATGGCAAACAGGAAACCAAAGAATCACTCTTTTGACGGGGAGTGACTCGCAAACATGTACAGGTCAGGCATGATCCAGAGGATGGACAGGGTGTAAGTTCACCTCTACACATTTAGAAAAAAATCATGGTTTCCTAGTTTTGCCCTGGTAAGGCTGTCCTCCATTAGTCAGTAACTTAATTAGTCGATCGGCAGAAATTAGAACCTATTGTGATAATCAATTAATCATTTCACTTATTTTTCAAGCAAAAATAGTGAAATAATTGCTGCTAATTCTCAGCTTCCAGCTTCTCAAATGGTAGGACTTGCTTTTCTTTCTTATTTCTTACATATAATAGCAAAATAAATATCCTAGTATTTTGAACCACTGGTCAGACAACACAAGACATTTTAAGACATCACTTAGCTTTGCTTAATTGTGATTGATCTATATGAAGTGTGAAAATAAAGAAAAAAGGCCAAATTAAGAAAATGTTCATTGCTTGTAGCCCTAACTGAAAGCCCTAACTGAAAGCCAGGTTCATTTCTTGCATTTTGTAGTTAATAGCAGTTCCTGTTTGAGACCGACTTCTCCTTAACTTCTATTAAGGTAAACACGCTGGAAAACAAATGTTCTACCAAACTGAATTAACATTTGTAGCTGACATATCTGACACACTTCCAGAAACAGATTTGACATGGATCATCTTGTTTGTGACATGAGAAATGAAAGGAGTCAATGTGCCAGAGGCTCCCATTTCCCCATCCTCGTTTTTTAATTGATATGTCTACATTAGTGCCCTCAGCACTGCCAAGAGAGCACTACTGTAAAACTCCTAAATCAACATTTTCCCAGAATCTCAAGTTGCATGCATGTGACCCAGTGGGTGCTGGGTGGCCTTCCTTAGCATGCAGTAGTAGTGGTGGTGTTATGGGTTATGAGATAAGGACAGGCAAAGCATAGCTTACACAACTGCAGATAAACCCTGGAGTTTAAAAATGGAAAGAAGGGCCATTCTGGGCCATGAAGGGAGGGGGGACACAAGTGAGGGACGC